CCCTCGAATAAGCGCTCCCCGTCTTCTCCTAAATTTGAAAAAAGCGCCCCGGGTGCTAATTCGAGGATTTGCGGTAAACTATCTAATAACATGTAATTTCTCTGTAAAAATCATAACGTTAGTTAAAAGGTCTTACACCAAGACCAATCATTTTGATATCCGTGTCGTATTCTGCTTGACTATGTATTGAACTGTGGGGAGTAAGTTTGTTGCAGTCTCTATAGCGGCTTAATTTTTCTGTCCATTTCACTGATGTTTTCCTCCAGGACGTGGGTTACCATCACGGCAAGACTGTTTTCAAGGGCTGGGTCAGAGGAAACAAGTTACCCGACATCTTCAGGGAACACCCGTCTAGGGGTCACATGACGCACGTGTACGCCTCAGGACAAGCTCCTGGGAAGGTAATGAACACGAAAAGAGGAACGTATTAAAAACCTGCTCGACATGGCTTGAAATCGCTAATTTGTGTTCGTTTTTAGAGCGGTTTTCAATTAAGTGTCGAAAGTAATCAAACAATTACGTTGGTTTTGGTTTTGGTTTAACTACAGTTTGAGATTGACCAGTGGGAAGTCCTCTTGTTAAGTAACTGGTTTGGTTTTGGTTTTACGACACTCTGTTGAAAACCGCTCTAGTTATCGACCAAACTGATGTAATTATGCAACAAAGTAGCCTACGTGTAGCGAAACCCACTACCCCCGCTTTGTTTTTCCTCGGGGGAGGTTGGTACGGCTATACGTAGGCTAGAAACAGCACTCTGTACAGTTATCATCCTGTAAAGATCCCTAGAGGTGTGTGACTCGTACCTGCTTCATGTGCTTTCTTATGTACTTTTGTTACTTCACAATACAGTGCTTTTCGTTAGGCTTTGTACCTTCTTTTCCTCGAAACATCCATTCGGTATCTATGTTTATTGTCTTTGATGAGCGCGCATGCAGCGTCTCACTTAATTTCGAGTGCTTAATTCCTTTATCAGATAGCATGATTGATGGTTGCATGCATTCTTTTAACCCTTTTCTCTTTTCTTTTTTTTCAAAGTTGACGAATAATACTACCTTCACTAATCTGGCGGAGCAGATATCTCGGATTGAACCTCCATACCCTCACGACTGGTTACCATACACCTCCTCGGATGAACTGCTAGGTTCCAGTGCCCCAGATGGTCGGCACAGGTACTCGGCCTCCGAGGAAGATGACGAAGACGAAGAAGACGTGAGCCTTGTTCGAGTAAGACCAAGAACAGGCTCTCTCTCAGAACACGAAGATTTACTGGCTCTCAAGGCGCAAGCGCAAGCGGTAATTCGACGCGAAGAAGCCGGATATGACGTAAGCTTCCTTGTTGTGCCTAAACCTTCAGTTACAAATTTTGATGGTGCCGTAGACCCTTTTTATAAATGGCTGCAAATTTAACATTGTTTTGTATACATTTAAAACTCGTTTGAGAGTAAAAATGCTTTTGAATTATCAACTCAAAAACGGGCTTAGTCAGTCTAATTTTAATACTTACAAAATAATTTAAAATTGACAGCCATTTATGAAAAGGATCTCAATTATTCTTATACAATGACACAGGACATTCCCGCCCCTCCCAATTTCTAAGGGGAAGCCCGTAGGAATAAGCTTGAGGGGAAGGTGGGAATCCGTTGTAGAGTTTTATCTCTTTCCTTGGAGGTTCAACCCCTGGGGGAATATACCATACACCATTACGGTCACGTAATTGATCGATCTAATGGTTGTTTTGCTTAACCAAGAAGTTATGAACATGTAGCGAAACATTTAAGCCATTTTTGTCAAAATTGCATTTTTTTGTTAGTGCCATCAGAGAATTTCAGTTTAACAATCCTTTAATGTGCAGCAGGACTGAAACGGATCCCAAAATTCTAATTGAGTTAAGCCATCTAGGGAGAGCGTACAGCAAAACCCTCGGTTGATGTTTGTAAAGAAGACAGGAGATTGTGGGGCCCTTGGCCCTTTTTTGTTGTTTTACTTCTGATTTGATCGTTTTGTCTGATCACGCTACATCACAAACTTACTTTCCGTGTTCTGTTTTCTTTTTTTTATTATTTTTTAATACGCACTCCTTTGTAGTGCTACTAGTTTATCTCGGCTTTTATATATTAAGCTACGCAAGGTATTGTGTGGATAGCAAGAGCGCTTGGTACTTACATCATGATTGTTTTTCTTTGCAGTCGGATGACACCCATCTTCGAAGACGCATGCGCCTTATTAGACCCAATAGTGAACCATAACGCACTCGGCGCCTCTACAATGGTCCTGGTAAAGATCAATGAGAGCCTGTGTGACGCTCAGTCTGTCCACTTTTAAAACGCTGAAGGACTGCAAAACAAATTAAGAAACCGTAATCTTGACCTTAACCGAAAAGGGATCACCTGCTCTCCGGAAAGGTCGTCCTACCAGCCTGACTGATCTCTCCATATTTTGAGATGCCCTCCCTCGTGTTGAGCTTGGTGTTTCGATCGGTCCAACCCAATCTTCTGATCTTTAAAGTGGGCTTCTAAAATCTTGACACTGTTTTCAACTACCGTGATGCGTGTGGTGTAGCGTGGTGTTTAGTGTGTTGTGAAAAGCGCGGTGTTAGATTTAGTGTACCTAGGCCTTATGTGGTTATTTTGTGTTGTGAGTGATATGATTGATTACAGGAAACTAAAGCGAGCAGTTAACCTTGAGTTAACACTAGTTTCGAACGTTTGCGCTGTTGATAGGGCGTTGTCGCATAAGGTCAGGGCGACCATATCGATATTCTCCTTTCGAATATAGGTCCTTTCTAATACAAAAATGTCCTTTTGATTGGGAACAACGCCAGGGACAAAAGCGCTCTATATAGAGGCAAAGCATTGTAGCTCCATCCTCTTACAAAGTAAAGGAATGAATAATTTCCAATTTTAAATTTTGGTAGCAGATGGAAAAGCGTATTGTGGCGAAGAGGTTATAAAGAAATGCCATGAAAGTAAAAGTATTTTTGCAGAACTCATAACTCGTAAAAGGAAATTTTTTCATAAATAGAAGTTAAATTCTACACCGAAGTTAGCGCGTCAGTGACATGTATGTTTTTGGCGTCTTCTAAACTTCGTCATCATGTCAGTTTGAATTTTAGCAATTGGGAGGGAAGGAAAAGGGGTTGCTTTACACCGCCCTGACTTGATTGGTGGATTCAGTGAAGGGCCACAAATCATGTCTATTCCTTTTCCTATAAGAAATAGAATTACAGGAAGCAAATAATCACTGACCAGCTCTTAAGCTTAATTTGTGTTGATGTCTAGGAATACCCTTGGATGGGGTTTGATGGACGTTTTTCCTGAATATCTTTCACATAGAAACATTGAATTATTTGCAATATTTGTATATCAGTTATTTAAAGATTTCACATTCGTTCTTCCAAGCACAATGCAAACACCGCTTGTATACAAGTCTTTGTCGCAGTAGTTATACTTAGAATGTCTGAAAGCGCAGTGTTACCTCTTTCAAAGACTGTCGATGCCTTTCTTCACGAACAAGCCGTCAGATTTATACTAGGTAAACCTCCAGTAAGTTAGACACATTTACCGGATTCGCTATTAAAATGTGCTGGGCTATAGGTTCTGCATCGTAAGCAGGAGTTATCCTTTGTAAGTCATGTAAGTGAGCTGAACGTGTTCTTCAGTTAAGGAAGTTTGTCCATATTTAACCTGTAACTATTTGTCAGTACTTTCTGGCAAAGTGAGCTATTTGACCAGTAATTCTTGATGGCTCAGTGCATTTTGTTTTCTCCGTGGTTGACAGATATATAGGTTTTCTTATAGTTATGACTGCTGCGCTAAAGACTTGTGAGAAAGCTAGGTACTAGAATTTGAATACTGTTTCGAATCCGCATTATTGGATCTTTCCTCTACCTGGGGGGTATTGACTATTTTCAAATCCGTTAATGATGACAACATGCAAATTCTCTTTACTTGTGTCCATACGTTTCTTATACATGTAGTAGGAGAATTTGTAAATTCATCATGAGAGCTTTATGCTCATGACCAGCATGTGTGTAACTTTCTTTTGAAATGCTAAGTTAAATTAGATGCTGGTCACTAAGGGTTTGACGTAATGTGTGGGATGAAGGGAGCTATGAACGTGCTTATTGTTTAAAACATACACTTAACCAAGCAGATGGGAAACTACTTTGGACATCACTTGAACTGTAAATGATAACAACTTTTGTAATAAATGATTTGTTTGGTAATTCTGTTTATGTAACTTTCAACCACAATGTCTACAGTATACATGTCGAAACAAATTAGCCACTCGTGAATTTTTGCATTTTACTGTGGCAAACCTTCTACCAGACGCATACTTTGGAAGGCAAAGTGCACATGTTGAATACATAAAGTATTACTGTATGTACGAAAAATTCTTATCTGACCTGCTCAGTTTCAGTATCATCCTTTATATTTGATCGTCTACAGACCGACTAAATCAAATTTTGCAGAAATTATGCGGTGTTGGTGTTTCGCGTTTTCGTCATAAGAGTACGTATTCGCGCCACGTTTATCACTCTGAAAATGACTGATTTTACAGCTAAAATGCAGAAAATTCCTATTGTAGCACAGCTTCTGTATTACCTCTCTCGTATAGAGGACAGCTGCTGGATCACGGAACTTTTCGTGGAGGGCACATAAAGGGGGTAAATTAATTTTTTCAGATGAATTAGTCTCTGCAGAGTCCTTGACCTTCTCTTTGACTGTGATAAACATGGTGGACAAAATTCTTTGCCTGTGACGATTCACGTGTGAATAGGTTGACCAACAGGTGTGGCTAGCTGACCCCGTGAGTGAAAACTGAACTTGAAGTTATCCATAGTTCGATTAAAACAGACGTTTCCCGTTAGTTAAAAACACAGTAACACACCCTTTAATCATTCTTACGGGGTTTGATGTTAACTTTCTCGAGAATGCTTGAGAATTTCATTGCGGGATCACTTAGAGAAATGAACTAAAGCGAGTTGTTTTAAATAGTATTCCAAAAGCTACCGTGCTACGAGTAGATTTTTAGTATATAATTTTTGCACTCATTGCTCGAACTTGGAGCGGAATCCGTCTTAATTTTCTCATATGAAATTTTATTTGTTAAGTGTGTCAGGCTCGCAAGCCTTTATCACCCTGTAAGGAGGTGCGAGTTCAAGCTAAGTGGGCTGATGGGACACGTTTTTTGCCGAGTGGCCTGGGTAGTGTTTGCTTAACAAATTGACGTCAGTTTTTCATGCGTCTGTCCTGTTATTGATTATGAATTTCGTCATAACATTGTTAAAGTAGCTGTGGATCCACGAGGCGATACCCGAATGGATCCGCAGACTACTTTGACGATGTTATGACGAAATTCATTTTCAGTAACAGGGCAGACGCATTAAAAACTGACATTAATTTGTTTTTTACGATAACAAATTGCCAAATTGTCCGCTCTCGCTCGTTGACACATCGCATAAATTATAAATTCATCCGTCTGTCCGCTTATTGACTAAAAATTAGCCAATGAGTACGCGAGAATTTCTGCAGTTATCGTAAACATGATAAAAACATAAACTGTGTACTGTACAATTGGATGCACATTATCTAAAGCGGGCTCATCAATTAGTTTAATAAAATATAATTTCCGTAACGATAGGTTGCTTTATCTTCTCTTATTTCCGTCTAATGCGAGTGCTATTTACTCTCTGACCGCATATGCTGACTCTACACTTTTAAGCAACCGTTTCCGCAACAAAAATTGGTGTGCTCTTTTTATTAGGATAGTTCATCGTAAAGGCTCAACAAAGGAGATAACAATGTTGTGGAGCTTTGTTTCATAGGAATTGGTGTTTCCTCGCCGTTTACACTCGTGTAGGAGCACCATTTGTCGCGAAAGCAAATTTTGCTTCCTAAAAGAAATGTCTCTGAATTTTTTTTCTAATATTTTGGTTCCATACATCCAAGAATAAGTTTCTACAGCTAGGTTTCCTCGTGTGTAGGGGCCTTATAAGATCTTATCAAGCTGGTCACGTGTTTCAACAGTTAAGGGTTTATTATCGGAATTTTATGCGTCGCTATGTACATGTACATGTAGCATCTAGCAAGATGACAATGCATCATTTGTGCTTGGTTACGTCTCAATAAATGCGCCGTTAAGGTTCAAGTTAAATCTTTGGTGTAAATAGAATAGGATAGTTAATCTTTGGAATCAGCTGCATGGTGAAAAATGAGAAGTTACATCATTCATCAAAACAAAACTCTGCTGCATATCAATTTTGGCAACTATCTCCTTGGTGCTGCAACTGACTTCCTTCTCAACATAATTATATTAATATTTTAAAACACTAAATCAAGCTATTCTCTCAAAAATAATTAACAGCAAATATATAACCTGCTGTCTGCTGTACACAATAAGTTATGTACATCCAACATCCATATAAACAACAAATTCAAAAACTTCATGAAAGCTGACCAACAGTGAGAATCCCCAGCTGCACAATAGAACTACTCTTGGTGGATTTCACTGTCACATCAAAATCAGGCTTGGCTCATTTTAAAACTACAGGACATGAACATCATGCTTTTGCCCTCTTTCATATACAGGCTTCCAGTTCAGTTCAAACAGCCTAAATGATCTTAGTAAGGTACCCAACTGAGCAATGAAGGTATTGCTGATGTCCATCAGAGGTTGTAAGAGATTTCTAACACCAGTCAAAACATTCCTTGTGAAAATGAAGGAAGGTTGGATGACACTGTTGAAAAGCAATGCTAAGTATGGCTTCAAGAAATGATCTCCGATCACAAGAATGATTCCTCCAAGGAGACGAAGCAGGACGTAGTGGAAAATAAACCTAAGAAGCTCCAAAACAAAGATGAAGGCAAAGTCAGTGATGATTCGAACTGTACTGAAAAATTCCTGCCAAAAGTAATGAAGCCATTTTTCGGACCTGAAGAAACAAAATAAAATTGTTAGATGTCTAAATGTCATCTGTACAGCCATTAAATAGAGGATGTTGCACAGCAGCATAAAGACATGTGGATTTTATTTCAGTGGTAGAAACAATATTTTTTATGAATGAGCACGGCAAGTGAGTAAAATATTGTTTTAACACAAGAAAATAAAATTCATATCTTCAAGCCACAGTGTAATTTTCTTTTTATCATACAGAAAAAAAAAGACTGTTTGCACAAAAAGCCATGAAAAAGCAGGAAATGACATCATCACTAGTGAGGATACGAAAAATATGCCTCTTAGATCCCTGTAGTACTTTTGCATGCATTTTGCAAGTGGTGTATTTTTCAGTAAATCCTGTGTCTATATAATGATATATGTATTATATTAGCAAGCAATTTTATTCAGAAAACGTTTTTTTTTCACAAAAGATTGTACCTGTCTGCAACTCTCTTCATGTATGCTTCCCTCCATTCAGGTCTAACATCTAAGTAGTGGTTGTGACCATGGTCAAAACGATACATGTATGAGCACCTACAGAAAATTAAACAAAGGAAGGTACATTATTTTGTTAATACATGTAGCCACACTAATGAATTATTGTAAGCTGTTTGAATAAGATACATGTACAAGCAGGTAAAATAAAGTCTGCCTAAGAGTTTAGTGCTCCAAGATACTATCAGGCCAGTGCTTACAAAGCAGCCCAGAAACATGCAAACTATAAAATAATATGCAGTACATGAAGTCCATGCGCTTGGCAACAGCCATGCAAAAACTAAGCAATCGGCAATGTCAGCAACTACTCTCTAGAGAGCACATGCACCTCCAGCTGCAGAGAGTGTAAAATCTTAGAGAATCTTGAGAACAAAACATGGGTACCCTGTAACTCTGAAGAAGAGCTCACCAAAGAAACTGCCGGTCAACTGTCAGCAAACTGTCAACTAGCAAATACTGTAACCAACAGGCTACATGTACATCAGTCTTCTTGGCCAATACAAAAATTGTACTACAAAAGTCAACCTACAGTGTACAAGTACATCTTCACTTATAAATGTTTAGCTCAACATAAAATCTCAGATTGCTGACACCCGATGCTGACATGAGGGTAAATAATATCAAGTTGTTGTCACAGCAACTACGAACCCAGTAATGTGCTTCTCAGTGTTCAAAGGCACACAGCATGTTTGTAAGCTGAGGGTTTTGTCATTAACCTCTGTAACTGCTTCATGCTCTGTGTTTTTCTCTTCATGATTGGCCATCTTAGAATTACTCTTCTGACGAGGTGTTAACTGCTGTCTGCTGTGTGACACAGGTTCTTCTTCTCGGTCACTGTCTGAATCCCATGAATGATTTCCATTACGTGTTTCCTTGACAGCCAAATATGATGACTTCACTTTACCTCCCTTGGGTTTTTCACTCTGCACATGTTTTGCAGTGTCTTGCTTTGAAAGGGTGGCTGTTTATGCAATAAAAAAACAAGAGCTGCATAGCCATGTATTGTAATTGTTTGTATTTACAGTTCAGAGTAAATAGAGGATGTTATGGATTGCACTCTCAACAGAAACAATTTGTGCCAGACTTCTAAAGATTCTAAGAAAATAATGACAAAATTCTAAAAAGTTACAAGAAAGTAAACTATGCCAAGTAGACTTCAGAAAGATAAATGTTTGATTTACAAAGAAAAAGCAAAAGAAATGTGCAACAGTGAACAATGAAAGGCAATCTTAAAATGAAAAAGGCATTGGTTTCTAATCAACTCATTAGTACATGTATTCCTGCTGATGGAAATTCTCATAAACATGCAGTGTATGTTTCTACTGAGAAACGTTATGTGAGAAAGTGAGGTTAACAAAGGTTTGCATACCTTGAAAATCAGTGAATGGTGGATCACGTTGATGATAATCAACCTCATTCATTTCAATGTGGATTCCATCCTCTCTTCTACCTTGACTGCCCTGCTTTAATCTGTTTTCATTGATATCAGGGTTAAGTTCCTTGTTCTGTCGGTTCTCCAAACCACTGTCACTAAATGTTGTTCCACTAATAATACTTTGATCAACAAAGTTAGTTATCCCAGATTTGCCATACAGCTGACTAGGCCTATGAGACGAGGGGGTTCCTTGTTTGGTTCTAGACTGTGTTGCTGGTGAATTGGTCACAGATGTTTTCTCTGGAGTTGCTATTACTGCCTGTGTCTTGATTTGAGGTCTCTTCTGAGGTACATGACCCTTGGGAGAATCTGGCGGAGGTGCTGGTTGGTGTCGTGGAGTGATATCAGGGCTAGATGAAGGCTCTGGTACATCCCCAGGAAGACTGTCCCAGTCAGACCCACTGTCCACTTCCTCTGTCTTCTTTTGCTGATACTGAAATGATATCGATAAATGCACAAAAATGTGATACAAGACAGAAAATACTTCTGGTATAATCTTTAGTCATGTAATAATCTCTCTTGTTATATAGCTGGAGTTTAACTGAATATATCTTGCTCTCTTACTGGTTGATTCATGGTCATGTGGTAATGGTTAAATCTACATGTAAATGGCACCTGGCAGGCTACAACTTCGCAATTAAATCCTGCTCTCCCACTAACCAGAAACTAGAGAACTTTGAATTCTTCTTGCCTTTTAACTTTACACTTAATTCTAGCTATATAACAAAACACTAAATTACTGGTCCCTTGGGAAACAGTTAGTTAGTTCTCCTCTTGAGAAACATCAAAATTCTTGGGAAAGAAAATTAAAACTAATTGTATCCCTCATGAAGTCCTAGTAATTAGGTGTATATTATTACATCATGATGGTTAATGCCCAAGTCGCTTTTGGAGGGAAGGTGCCTACGAAGCCTGGGGGCTGCAACCGCAGTCACATTCCAAGGCACTAGAACACCTGACTGACCTGCCCAACCTGCAACCAAGCCACGAGCCCCCCGCGCCAGGCTCCCTACAGGCACCCGTCACACTCGAGCCAGATAGCTCAGTGGAAAAAAAAATGCTGAAAAANGAACGAACACACTGCAAGCACATGGGACGACAACGCACGCACTAACCAAGAATACCGCTGAACAATGTCAGCCCCAGGGCTCTCACAACCATATGACTGCTGCAAACGCTACAGAACGCAACAAATGCTTAACAAATGCTAACAGATGGCGAAGACGGTAACAAATGCCTACAAAAACTCTACTGACCAGACTAGCTCCTAGTCGTTAGCTATGTTAAATTCCATTTACATGTAACTATATATAGCTCTGTGAATGGCCTAGATGAACCAAATGTTGCACTGTGACTACTGACATGCAGCAACCTGAGAAGGCAAGATGGCTCTACCTTGCCAGCATGGGATTAACCACTGTTTCCCAAAACTCAAGGGCATGGTGTTTTTTATGCCTTAAATCCATTATTGAGCAAGCTAGTTTGGTCAAAAACTGGATATTGGCCTTGTTCTCTTTATCCATGTTTATGGACTATGGCAACGTCTTGGACCAGAACTAAGAAGGAACTAAGCCAAGGTCCAGCCATCTTGATCTCATGCTTACATGTACATGATGCATAAATGTACTTCATTTGTTAACCTACATGTAAGTGAAATAGTGACAACCTTATGGCTACTGTGGACGTACCTAAAAATACCCTTATTCTTCCTAACTATGGGTCAATAACCCACATATGATCACAGATACAGACCTCTTGCTCGGTAAATAAGAACTGAGTATAAGTCGAAATGTCGTTTGTTGTTGTAGCTGGTTTGTTTTGTTTTTCCTCGTTATTCTACTGGCAAAAAATTATCAAAGTACTTGGGGGCATTTCTGCAATTTAACGCCATCTGTAGATGCACGTAGTGGAAACTTAACCACAACAAGTCATGTATTACAACCCCAGGGTATGATTTCATTCAATCATTGCGTACAGCGCAGCTACCTATGTATATTATTACATGTCGCCGGGTTGGCTTTAGACAACGTTCGTGGACATAATCTATCTAATTTGTCTATGTTTAAGCATACCACTACAGTGAAAAACAGGCCTATTATGCTAGTATATTATTCAGATCAGACGTACCATAATTTCGAGATACTTTGCTGATCCTTTGGAGAAAAGTTTGATGACTCACGATGTCGACTGTAAACAATGGTAAACAATAAGCGTAAAATGTGACCTTGACTTGGCTTTAGAAGATTACGCAAACCAGATTTACGGCTACCCTAAAGGTCAATGAAGTTAGCTTTCTCAGTTAAGTACAGATTGATGCTATAGTCTTTGGTATGGTGGCAACAAAAATTACGAACATGGAAAACTACACGGAAGGCCGTTGTCAGTCGTGAAGGCCTCTGGGAAAACTTGTTACACGGAAAGACTGGGATCTAGTTGATATCCCCGCAAATACCTGGAAGCATTTGTTGTGTTACTGTTTTGGAGAGGTTTCTTGGTTCCTGTTGAAGTTTTCAAGGATATCTTTCTCTTTAAGACAATTCAAGTTTATCAAAAATACCAGAGACCTTTCACTTGAGGATATAAAAGGTGTCATGAGTGATAAACACGCTGGAAACTGCTATGGGATGCTGAAAAGTACGCCATTTTACGTCCAAGTGTAAAAGTTTTGGTGCTACAATACGGATGACACTGGAGTGGATCTTGCAAACTAACTCAGAAATGGCAGAGGATGGGCAAGAGAGCAGTGCTTCGTGGTGTTTTAAGACTGTAGGAAAGCTGTGATATGCCTTCAAGTGTTTCTTTAGTACAGCTGTTTAGTAGAAAGTTTCTGGCTGCTGCTTGACCTGAGTTGCATTTGTACTTGTGTGTCAACTTTTTCTAAGTCTTTACCCTTAACAATAAGTACCGAAACTTGCGTCCAACAAATAACACCCCAGGAAAGCATCATGGACAGCACAGACAGGTAAGTTACTCTAACACCTGATTAGTGCACCTTGTCTATTTGCCGAGATCATAAATTATTACATTTGTATGCATGTGTGCACTGAACTATATACCATGCCATATACACGTAATATAGAAAATACAGCCAATCAGAATAAAGGAAAGCCATTGTATAGTCGACGGTATGAAATCCAACCTTCCAATCATACACTGCATGTATCTCACATTGATTGTGTTGGCTACTGTCTTTTCTATGGCATGGTATAAAACTAGTTGTGCTATGCTCTCTCATGGTATACTATGGAAAATCCTGCTTGTCACTTATATTTTCTTGGTATACACACTTGCCTAAAGGCTCGTGTATATACAAAGAAAATACATGTGACTTGTAGGATATTTCATGGTATACAACCCAACAGTGTTGCACAACTGGTATGTACATGTATATTATATGTACATGTTCATCAACATGTACTTGTAGGATACCACATCTGGGCAGATAATCAACACGTCACAGTAACAGCATGAGTCAGCGGCAGTACTATGTAGAATATTGATGAAGCAGCTTTGCAAAGCTCTGTTCACATGCACAGCCAGTTGATTTGCCTGCTGCCCAGTTCTTAATGAAACCCCTGCTATTTTTTGCTGTTTCACAGGACATTTTTGGACATGGTAAAGCTAAAACTACTAGAAATGAATGATATACTCTATGCATTATTGACCAAGTGTGAGGTCAAGATGGCTAGATATTGGCCAAGTTCTGTTTTTGTGTGTTTATGGCAAGACAAAGTCGAGGTCCATAAACATGCAAAAAAAAAAAAAAGAATGCGGTGTTTTTCTTAGTGAGCCTGAGCCTTTTTGACTTTTTATAATTGCTAGACCCAAGACTTCAAACTGCGTTAAATGCAAGAGCAAGACATTCAGATTCTAAGACGTTGAGACCTTACATGTAGTTATGGAAAAAAAAAATTAATCGGGACTTCAAGACCTGATTAGTCTTTCAAAAAATTGAGAGTGCAAGATTCAGAAAATGGCTAAAAAAGAGTCTGCAAGACCTCTGAAATTCGACAAAAATTTTTGCGAGACCCGTGGTTTTTGAAGGACCATTCGCCACCACTAGTTTTTGCTTTCTGTTCCTTAGTGGTTTTTTTTTTTCACCTTCATGTAGGGCTTTGAGAGAAAAGATGAGGAAGAGAAGAACTGCAATGGAGGTAATTCTCTTTTGTAATTCATGTGTTTCATTGTTTTTTTGGTCTAATGTACTTGTAGTGTCAAATGTTGTAGTTTTGGAGGGTGAGGAGGTAGAGCTGTCAGGCCTCCATTTGTTGGCAAGTTGTCAGGTCTTTTCATCTACATAAACAGTGCCATATATCTAAGATATCAATATAATATATTTTTGCTGCACATATTCTCTTTTGCCTGTAAGCAAAAACTCAATGTTAAACTCAATGTACAAATTATCATGTAATAGTCATTCTTTTCAAAAAGACAAAAGGAGGAAGGAAGTGCTGTACAATATAGTTACATACATACATATACATACTTTATTGGCTTGTCCCCATGGGGCTTTTCAGAGTCAATTTTACATTACAAAATTAAAAACTAAGAACATGACAATGATAAAAGAAGATAAAGGTTAATAAAATTAAATAAAGCAGTCATTAAGAAGCTTTTGCCTGAGTGAGCGCCTGAAATCCGTCACGGATGGGCTTAGTTTGAGTGCAGGCTGCAACTCATTCCACAGAGAGGTCGTGATAAAAACATTGAAACACACGTTTATCATGATTGTCTTGAAGTGACTCCATGTTCACTATGAAATTAACCCAATGGGGAAAAATATTTAAGGTACACCAACNCCGAACTAAACTATAATTCAGTCCACAACGCCACACTAACAGAGCAACAAACACACTGCAAGCACATGGGGCGACAACCCACGTACTAACAAAGAATGCCGCTGGACAATGTCAGCTCCAGGGCTCTCACAACCATATGGCAGCTGGAAACACTACAGAACGCAACAAATACTTAACAAACGCTAACAGATGGCCAAGGCACTATCAGACGCCTGCAAAAAACGCTACTGACCAGACTAGCTCCTGGTCATAAAGTATGTAAAATTCCATTGAACTATATCAAATGTTACGGAACGCACCAAACGCTAAACAAACGCTAATAGACGGCCAAGACACTAACAACTGCCTACAAAAACGCTACTGACCAGACTAGCTCCTAGTCGTTAACTATGTTAAATTTCATTTAACTATATATTACATTTTAAGATTTAACATACGGTCTATATGCAAAATTTTAAAATGTACTTGACTGTATGGCTAATTTGACTAAATAATGTGTTTCAGTATTTTGTCACAAATAATCATTTGTAAACACACTATATTTTACAGGCCACGATGATGTCAGATACAGGCTCATACAGATCTGACAATGAGGACACTCTGCATAGAACGGTAACTCCAGCACATGCAGACACGGTTAGTTTTATAAATGTCTGACTATGTACACGTCCACTTGTATTGTAGTACAGGGTTTTAAAAAAGTAAAGGTAAAGTCTCCCTTCAGGCCAGAGCTTATCCCGGTTTCTGTAGCATGAAGTGACAAGGAGTATTTCTGCTCCCCCCTGGATGGGATGCTTGTCCATTGCAGGGTTATCTCCAACATTAATTTCGCCGATACCCATTTATACACCTGGGTGGAGAGAGGCACTGTGAGAATTAAGTGTCTTACCTAAGAACTCAATGCAATGCCCCCGGCCAGGGCTCGAACCTGGACCACTGGATCTGGAGACAAGCACACCAACCACTAACTGTGCCTCCCACATTTGAAAGGTCAGTCTTACATAGGATTAACTAAAATTTGGCAAGACCTTTTTCTTATTAACCACCAGTCTCTGAGACCAGTGACTGGGACAGAGATAGAGACCCTGAGTCCTGGAGGAGACACTATGGTTGAGGTGAGCAACAACTGTAATGCCTATGTTGATTGAGAAGTGTTGACAAACTGTCATTTGAGTATGTCTAAACTAAGGAAGGATAAGAGTACATGAGAGTTGGTAATAGCCATGTTTAAAGTGTGAGGAAAAAAAACCCTTGTTGGCTCACTTTAAGATTTGGGCAGTTTATTCAAATGTTGATAGGAGTTTGCAAGTCACCTTATGTTGTGTGCGACCACATAAAAGTAAGAGTTTGCCCTCTCAAGCACAGGTACTTTCATTTTCATTTTGCCTGGGTCTTATACTTTAATAATCCTATCTAGCACCTTGAGATGTACATGCAACATTGAAATTTACATGTAACTCTACAGATTTTATGATTTATGGAGGTAGTGTGTCTGAGTGGTCAGCGTGTCGGACTCGCAATCCAGCAGTCCTGGGTTCAAGTCCCACTCTGACCACTGCCTGGATTTGTTTCATGGTAGTCTCTAGTTCAAATCCTTGGCCACGCTTGTAAATAGCCAACTGGTTTGCCTCCAGCCAGTTGGGATTCTTAACAATGTCATGTTCAATTTGAATTATGACTTATTTTAAAATTTGTTTCAGTTATTTGCTTGGTCCCACTAGCCTTTGTGCTATAAACACTGCTACTTATTTTTATATATATATATATTTTTGCTTATTCCTTCCTCATTATCATTGCTCCCTACCTTTTGTTATTTTTCATTTATTTACTTATTTGTTTTTGCAGTCTTTGCAAGACCTTGAGGATGAAGGTGATATGTTGCAGGATCTTCAGACTAGGAGGCAACAGAGAAAACAGGAGGTATCAAACATACTGTCTTGGCCTTAGCCTTGAATATCATTAATGATACACATAAAAAATTTAAAAAAATTGCACATACATGTACCTTTATAGTTGACATAAGCATTAACATAAATAACAAAAATAAATGCACACCTTAAAAGAAATTACACTTGTATAATTAATATAATTACTTTTATTTAGTTCCTACATATGTACATTGTACTTTCTTGACTTGTGCTGCCGTTCTGCCCTAATTACCTATAAAAGCTCGGAATCACGTGTTTTCACTTCTACCTTGGCACAGCAGTGTTTACGTACATTTTATCGTGTGTGGAACAGAAATGTTCATGTACATGCTTCATGTACATGGTTAAGTTGTTATTAATGGTTATTAAGTTGTCATTTAATTTAGATTCTGTATTTTGTCTATCTTGATTTCAGCTTTCCAACACTTTTGGAGGATCAGGTGGAGCATGGGGTGAAGAGAGAAGCAATGTAGAGACACCATCACCTGCAGGTTACTTATATTTCTACTATTACTACTAGTGGGGTTCAACTGTACTATGTGTAGTCTTAACCTGTGTTTGTGCACAGTCACATAATTAAACAAGGTCTTTGTAAATTTGTTACAACTCAAAAGATTGATGTAAATTATTCAAGTGTCATTGATCATAATATACTGCTTTGGATATTCATCCAGACACATTTACAACATTTCTAATTCGTAAATACAAGTTTCTGTAGCACCCAATCAAAAACAGTACTGATTTCTGAAGGGCTATGTAACATTTATTGTAAAACTGTTTCTCTAGAACGTCTCAAAAAATTATTTTGAGGATGCAGTAAGTAAGATGTTCAAAGAAAGAAGACTTTTCTTTTGCTAAAAGGGTTTTTTCACAACATTTACATTGTTCCTGTAATACCTTGTTTCATTTTATTTTCAAAGGCCCATCACAATTGGGTGTACCAGGTCCCAGACTTCAGCAAATGATGAATTCTGAGAAGTTAAATGCGTCATCGGCAGGAGAAAGTGCGGGACTGAATGCTTCTATCAGGGAAAGGCTCAGAAGTAAAGTGCGAGGTCGTCAGGTATTATTCCCTTTAAAACTAACAGTCTCTCATTTGTGCGTGTATACTGTTTCCTGTTTTTATACACCAGTTTTGTTTTGGTGGGAAGGGGCAACCAGATTTCCTAAGATACGTGTACTGTACTCTTTACTGAGCAGACATCATGTACATCAAAAACTTCTATCAATTTTCAAGGGTCAACCAATGTCATTTGTGCATGTTAAGTGGTGCCATTCATGTGGATGGTGTTTGGTGCAGGTAAATTGTCTTTGCTATTTATTAAGACTTGACATGTGCTTTATTTTTAGGCAGTTTCCAGAACTGGAGAAGGAGAGGTGAGCAATTAATTACTTTACAGCAAAAATAGTGCACTGTATATTTCATTTCATTAATGATGCCAACAGTTTACACACAAATAAGTTCATGTTTCTACTTATATGTAAGTATACATGTACTTGTGTTTCAAATTGTGCAAGATTAATATTAATTATATATGTGGTAATTTTCTTTGTCAGTCTAAGAATTTAATTATCCTTGTATTTACATGTATGTATTATTGATTTTTGATTACTCTGTTAGGGCACACCTGAAAGAAGACTGCGTGGTCTAAGAGACCGACCATTACCAACCAGATTCGACGATGCTGGGGTATGACAGAAATTTATTTTGACTTGGCTGATGTACATACATTTACAGTAGAAATAATCCAGTAGTGTGTTGGTCAGTGTGTACTCACTCGGGTAATTAGTATATGATTATAAAATGTACATCATTGTAGATGGGAGGCTATGTATCTGTAAGTTACATAGCTTTAAAATGAAGTTGATAAATCTCTATAATTACATGTACTTTTATCATTCCTGAATAGTGATCAGGGTTGCTTATTTAAGTTGCATGACAGGTTAACCAGGTGGCTATTAAAAAGAATGCAGAAGAGTCGAACTTGAGATGCACCTCTCAGAACAGATAATGTCTGTGGGCAAATATCTGAGCATATTTTCCCACCAAATGAAGGCTATTGTATTTTAAGTTGCAACAATGTTTCTTCAGTTGCTGGGTGATGTACCAGAAGAGGAAGATGCAGAAGATGCAGAACTTCAAGCCAGCATTGCAAGTGCAAACAAATGGAGGAAGATAGCTGCACTAACAAGACAGAGAGCTGCAGAGGTACATTGCATCATTAAATAATTTTTTTAATTATGGTTATAAACTGGCACAGGGTGTATGGTAGGAATAATTAAGGAACAAATTATGAGTCAGTGACACAAGCTACTGAGAAAATTATTTTAGGCCCTCCTGACAGAAGTCAACTCAAACCTAAGAGGAATGTGTGAGTGTGAAGGAGGACTTACAAAAATAAAGAGGCTTGAATCATCTTGTGAGAGACATTTCTTGATAAATTCAAAGCTGCTTTAAGCTTTCAAGCTCTCAGTATCTATTTCATGCTCTCCAATATAGGAGGGTATTTGCTGTTATGTAATATATTTTTAATTGGTGGAGTTCCAGCAGTCCAAAGGACCGCCAGGCAGAGCACCATAGCTATAGGAACCAAACCACATGCTTGCAACCATGCTTGCAATTCTTTTTTCATGGTCAACATTGCCAGCGGCATGGATCCTGGGCATGTGCGCCCTTTGAAGACAATGACGATAACGACAATGTCATTGCAAACATGGTGGCCATTCCCCAGCTGATAGGTTGACAGAGAAGTGGTTTACAGCACACATCTTTGATATTTGATGTCCATGTTATGGTCAATTGACACCTGTTAGAATATGGTATTCACTGACTAGTATCACATGACCATATTGTGGCCTCAGGTTTAGATCTCACCAAGGTCATAGGAGGTTTTGAAGTTGACCGCTGACCAGGTACTGTCTTTCGATTGGATCGCAGGCTCACACCAGGTTAATTTATTTTAATCAGGAGAACTGCTTCTAGTCTTGTCTAAATCTACATAATTTATTTTACAAGTTATGTATTTAAATTTCCATCTTAACTAGGGTATTCCCACAGAAGAAGAAGCCTATAATTTCTTTGTTGGAAAAGAAACAAAGGATAAGGAAGACAAAAAGGAGACAGAAGACACAGAACAAGAAACTGAGGTAATTACTGTATAAGCCTATATTTAAAACTACTACTTTGAATACGAGAATTCTAGGAAGAGTTATCTACTTATGAGAGGTGGATGATATGACTGTGGTTAGAGCATGTGAGAGTTCTCATATCGTTTAGATTTCATTACCGTCAAAGCTTTGTGCAACTTCTCATTAACATGGCTCATTTAACAGGCTAGATGTGTAATTTTTATATTTTGAAATTATGCTCATGCAAGCATTTTGTGAACTTTAGGAACCAGCAGAGCAACCACTGAGAGAAAATGAACTCTTGACATTCTGGGGCAAACCTCTTTATAAACCATTAGCAAAGCAACTAGAAGATGAAGCCAATCTTTACCAGATTCCAAGTATGAGGCCTGGTAAGTCCCATTGTCAACGTTGAAGACAAATAATAGACAAATTTGTTATCCATGGGTGCATGTTAATAAAAGTTACATCTTAGAAGTTAGAAGTTTGTGTGAACCTGTTTAGCAAATGAGGATCTTTGTGGGTACTTAGTTTCTGTAAGTTATCTTCCCAGTTCTGGTTATAAAAGCTTCAAAAACCATTACGAGAATGGATTTGATGTCATAGTCCATTGTAGTTTTCTTCCCAACATTGTTACCCGATACAGTGTACATTTATGTCATTGAGTCTTTCTATCTGTGAATCTTACAATGAGAGATGTGTGGTGTCCAGAGGAAAGAGGGTAACAGCTTTAAGTCTGTTCTCATGATTACATACAATCTTGTACTTTTCAGTTCCATTAGATGAAAAAGTCCCAGAGGGTGCAGAACCTCGTTTTTGGGAAGAAGAAGGTTTCTATGTTGGAAAACCACCACAAGTTTCACCAGCTAATTTGAACATCATGGAAAACAGAATTAAGGATGGAAATCAGGTCTTTATAATAACTAGATGCATACTGATACAAAATTTAAAGGGAGATCATTTGTAACTGCCACACTGTCACTTACACGTAAGAATGCCTCTGCATGACCAACAAAACTTGAGCTCCCAAACTTCCAGAACAGTGTTTGATCCTTGAATTTAAACTTTACCTTTTTTCAACTTTTCTTCTCCTGCAGGTTCACTTTGTCTGTCACATTTTTAAATTTTGCACATCAGTTTAAAAATATGATTGTATAGAGTCCCTTATTTTGGCCAATTTCAGGAATTCAGTTACAGTAGTTATGGAGCAGCACAAGAAACTTTTTTCATTTTCATTTTTCATTTTATTTATTTATTCCATTCTTAAATTACAAAGATAAATATAAAGTAAAGAAGTAAGAGGAGAAATGGAAAAGGGCAAAAATATAGCAAGCTAATTAGATGCCCTTGTTTACTTGACAATAATAATTAGGGTAAAAAAGTTAACTTAATTAACATAGGAGAGGAAGAGGTATGAATTAATCAATACTGAGCAGAGTATTAAAGAGGAAAAGTAGTGGAGGGGTGCAGCCAGAAAATTAAGAGAACTTCCTTTGCCTGTCATCCGAAATACTTTTCAATTTTCAATATTTTCCAGAGCCAAATGCCTGGGGCAGGCTATCCCTTTGTTAACTAATTATCTACATGTATGTGTTATTACAATGTAGCTAGCGTTTCTGTCACTTTGTTTACCTCAGGGAACTCAGTGGTTTGGGGAAGACGGCCAACTGAAGAGACTATCATCTCCACTAAAAGAAAAACCAACCCGTCCCCCTGTGGTAAACTTAGAAGAACTTGATCCTTTGTTGCAAACAGAATGGGTTAAGGTATATGTACAGTTTGTATGAGATTTTGTGGACCCTCCTTATGCATTGTGGCTTGCTTATAAGGTATTTTCTTACATTCTTTCTGCAGTCTCATATGGAACCATTTGATGGCAAATTTATTAATGCAACTGGTATGTAAAGTTATCTTTTGGTTCAGTTTTAGTTAATTAGAAGTCTTTCAAAATCCAAAAATAAAGTGCTAGCAAAGCTTCGAGACTGCAAAATGTTCATTCCATTTTTGGCTTACTGTACGTATACTCTAGGCAATTTGTATACAGCACTTAAAGACTTCAATTTGAAGATCTAGAATAATGCAGAAGGGTATTTTTTCCATTGGCTAGTACTGCAAACAGAATGGGTTAAGGTATATGTACAGTTTGTATGTCCATTATTAGTATTGTGTTTCTTGTAGTATAATTGTACAAATCTTGTAATTTTGGTAGCTTTTTATTATAGTATTCAACTACTGTTGTATTTTTAGTTGTTTTACTGATGTACTGTGGTATGTTGTATGTTGTATGGCCATCAGTGGTGTATGAGAAAGTACCAATCAACTTTACAAATTTTGATGTATCCTGACAACTACTTAATGTTATTTTATTATTATTTTTTTTTGGTCGTTTTTATAGCATTTAGTTGTCCACCAATGCCCATTTAACAGTTAATTTTGTGTTCATCTTGCACAGATGAGGAGGCAGCTCAATATCAGCTAGATGTTGACTTATCCACGCTTACCTTCACCCACCATCCACTGTTCAGCAAAGAACACGTGTTGGCCTCAAGGTTACACCAACACTACAAGCAGTACACAGAGAAGAGAAGGAAGGCAATGTCTTTTCATTACTCAGACAAGGTGTTGTGAATTTCTTGTGTCTTATCTTGCATCTAATTAGTACATGTATGTAAATAAATTGTCACTGAATGTTGATTCATACCATATTGTTGTCCAATGGGCTTGTCCAATGGGCTTATCCAATGCCAGTTTTCCAATGGGCTTATGGAAGCCCATTTGATTTTATTTTGTATTCAGTTGCTATTTTTGATTTTCCAGCTCTACACAATACACCATTATACGTATGAATACTCCACCTCTGAGCCTTGTTCACTGTGGGGCAGTGTTCTTTTTATCTTTGCTACTTTCCGAATTCAGTGATGATAAAATTCAATGACCTGTTTGCACTGAAGGCTTAAAGGTCAAATTTTGTTGTGTTACATAAATATGGATTGAAAAGGCTTTACAGAATAAGACTTTAATATGTCTTTGTTGCTGGCCCTTTTAGCTGGTAGCATTAAAGATTGCCCTTCAGCAGCTTCAAGAAAATGCTGTAAAAGTGGTAAGAATACCTTGTGTTACTTTTATGTTAATTACTTAAGGATTTGATTTTTGTTGGAAAAATTGAATTAATTTTTCAATTACATTAGAAAATGATTTTATTAAGACAGCATTATAAACTAGTGAGAAAATCTCAGATAGTGCAGAGTGTAATTAACATCTCTGATGCAGTAGTCACACAGGTCCTCACTCCTGCTGTTCTCTCCCTTGATGGTCACCTTGGCCTTTTCCCCTTTGCATAATATGAGCGGACAAAAACTTGATAAGACATACTCTTAGCCGTGTGTATGTTTCATGTTNAGGAACTACTAGAGAGAAGGTAAGAGAAGTGTAATTACGTTTCTGAAAAACATACATTAGTTACCGTCTGATCTTGGCCAAATACCACACTGACTTCACTACCCGGCTCTGAAAACTAATATTTATGTGTACATAAAGGTAACATCACATTAACGAATATTTAGACATAATTTTGTAAATAATATTGCAGTATAATATTGATTAAGTGGGTATTGCAATGTATTGAGGTTAAATGTGATTATTTTTTTTGCAAGCAAAGTAGTTGCGTTATGAGGTTTTACCAGACTGCAGGTAGTCAGCGAGATGATAAGCGAGATGATAAGAAACCGGCCAAACCGGCCAAGAGAATGTTGTACATACCTACAAAAGTACATGACTGTATAAAGAACTTCAATTAATAGGCAGTGGAAAAATTAACGTTTAAACTGTTATTTTTCAGGGAGGAATATGATGTAGAATACCAAGACAAACTAGCTGAGTACGAAGAGGAATTAAAAGAATGGAAAAAGGAGGCCAAGAGAAGGGTAAATAGTACAGTATTACAGACTAACGTCGCTTTTGCTTATAAGCTTAATCGTTTCACTGTTTTCTAATATTTCAGTGATATTGTTTTTTTTTAAGCAGAAAAGAGCACGCCAAGAAGGACAAGAATCAAGTCTCATTTCTGGGGAAGATGGGACAGATGGACGTACGTGAAATCACTGATAGTACTTTAGTTCTAATTGTTGTTGATTTGATGGTAATAATTAAAAAGTTAATAATTTTTGTAGCATTATTTATTTACATATGGTGATCAATAGCGCTTTACAATTCGGTTAAGACTAAATTAAAAAATATATAAAGTTTTTAACAGGAAATAAAAAAGAAGATACATTAAAATGCCGACCTAAACGAAAACGTTTACGTTTGCTTTCAAGCTTTCAAAAACACTACGTGGCGTGGCAACACGCAGGTCAGCCGGCAGGCTGTTCCATAGGGCCGTTTGTAGCCAAAGTAAAGGACCTGCTGCCAAGTGCTAGCGCATCATCTGCCGTAGAACTTCGAGTAGTAGGCTATTATATTAGTATGAACTCTTTTGCTTAACTTGAATGGTCTTTCTGCAACCAGATTTGACCATTCTTCATGATTCACTGGTAAATGCTACTAAAAATTTAAAATTGACTAAGAATGGATATAAGATAGAGTGGAACCCTGTTGATTGTGTAAAACCCAATCACCAGTATACAGGAATTATGAATGACAAATTATGCATGTATCTTTTAAACATGCAGAGAATCTGCCCTTTGAAATGTTCTTGACCGCATTGATGAATTAAATTGTTCCGCTGTTGTATTTCTCAGTTCCTCCTCGGCCCACACGTCCACCAAAGTTTGATGAAGTAGCAGAGTATGAGAAATTGAAGGAAAATGCTGCACTGAAGAGACGTGCTCCAGGTGATTCATCATAAAAGTGATCTGTATAATGTATTATACTTTCACGTAAATCGTATTGGGTTTGCTCTGCTTTAACCATTGATACACTTGCTTTTGCAGGAGAACCTATTCTTGTTCCAGAACTTCAGATGAATGCCAATATTACCCCTATAGATCAGGTCACGAGGTAGTTTTGGAACAATTCTTGTTTACCAGCTTTTTTGTTTGTGTTATGATACGTGTGGTAGACTAGAGGGGAGATGTCTTAGTAGCTCTATGAATCTTAACTGTAGTAAGCATTGGCACGGCTGAGTTACATACTTAGTTCTTTTATTGTATCATTCCATACCCCAATCACTTTTCACATAATATTCTTACTCTGGTTTTGATGTTATTTGTGACTGGTGCCTTTCAGGCCCGAAAAACTGAGGCGCACAGAGATGCAGAATTGGTCAGCATTCATTAAAGTTATGTTTAATGGCAAAGAAGTATCCAGAACAGTCGTCAAGTGAGTTTTCTTTACATTCTAAGAGATACTCTCTCTCTCTCTCTCTCTCTCTCTCTCTCTCTCTTCTTACATTATCTTTATATATTTGCCAGTAACCACCTGATGTGAATGAAGAAACAATTTTTAAGGGGATGTCAGTTTGCTTTCACCAACAAGGCATTTCTCCAAGCAATAATGTGTGACAATTACTAAGGAGAATTAAAATACTTTGAACTGACCTGGCGCTTCAAGCAGATCATTGCAATCAAGGATTCCACAGTATATACCGCCCAGCGGCACTTCATTTTTTAAAGTTATCATTTTAACACACTTCTTTTTTATGATGTAATCTTGTTTAGGAGACTAGCCGCTGACTTTACGATTCACTTTGGTGAGATACACAACATTCAGATTGTCCAGTGGCCAGAGAACATCAAACTCCAGGTTAGAATGCCTTACCTAACGGTGTGATTCACAAATCATCATCTTGTTCGTTTTAACCTGAGGTTAACGTTTTTACAACGTACTTCGAATGACGGTTTTGGGCTAAGTGTTTATGGTACTTTTTAGTATAATTGTTTGGCTTGTTCTTTACTGTTCTATTGAAATCTTGTCAGTTGTTAATTTTAATGTGTTTTTTGTCAGTTACTGGGTTTGACTTAGGCCCGATTTCCGCCGCTCTCTCGAGTCCGGTCTACGTTCCTCCCCGAGAGTTCGGGGGAGGAGCGCGGGCTCTTTTCCCGAACAGCGGCTAGTAATCGAACCTAGGTTTGACTTACCGACTTACCATACAAGTTAACTTTGTTGGATGACAGTAATCTGAAGAACCTTTAAATGTGCAGTTGTGTTTGACAAAAAAAGTTCTTTAAAACCCTCTTCGTAGATTTAAGAAGGTGGTATTTTATTGTGGTACTTGTTTTATGCTGACTTCAATCACCATTGCACGACTTCCTGGTAATACCAATACCAGTTCTGTAGCCAGTCTTCTTGGGCTATCACTTTCTTTTCTCATTACTATCAGTTACTGATGTCTGTATCTTACTACGAAAAAATACATTGAAAACCGTTATCGGACCAGATAACAGTGATTTAACGCAACAGAGGACTTTTTTCGCGTTTACATAGCCTCATCTAGACACTAGGGGGGTAATGGGAGAACTCTAGACAGTTATGAAAACCCGAGATGCAGTCGAAGGTTTGCGTAGCTTCTGAGAACTCTTCCAACTCCCTGAGTGTTTAGATGAGACTGTGTAAACACGGGAAAAAGTCCTCAAAACCCAGAAACACAACCTTGTTTACCTACTCTCATCTAATTGTTGTCTCTGGCTGGTTGCTCCCGTTGTTATGTTCTACCAGGATCTAGCCATGACTGAATCAAACTTTTGTTTCCGTCTTCCAGCTGATGGAATCCGGCATGCAAAACAGACTTGTTGCAGAGTTGTTTCTTCCCATTCCTGAGCCAAGTCACATGTCAGGGAGGGTGGAGCTTGAGTGCTTTGAGTTCAGCAGTGATCAGCAGGTGTTCTATAAACACGAAGGTGTAGGCAGTGGTGAGTTTCTTCTTACAAAATCCAAACATACATTTTTACTGCAATCTCTTTGCTCTAAGCGAGTGTGTGAATTTTCGCAGGCGCAAAGGTGCGTTGTTGGGTGTCTTGCGTAAGACGTGCTCAACTTCTTCAAACTGAATTTTCAAATGAATCTTCGTTATATTCTTGTGTGATTTAGTATTTGATACAAACAAGAGGCGGTTATTCCTATACTGTGAAGTCGAACCTACCATTAAGGACAGCTCCATAATACAAGCACCCATATTACGTACAGTTCACCTCGTCCCTATGGGTACATGCACGTCACATCAATAAAGGTGATTAACGTTGACTGACTCTGTTTTGTTGACAGGCCAGCCACTGGACTTTGCTTCGAACAATGCAGCTGAGCCCCAGCCCCCCATCTATCTTCTGACTTCTGGCACTATCCTGGCCAGTGTCAGCTGGGCAGTAGGTAATGATGGTAAGGCTATGGCACCGCCATTACTGACTGGCAACCCAGCTTCAAACATCAGGTGAGCCAAACGCTGGAGTGAATAAATCCCAAAACTATAAACAACATAGCCATTATACTAATCTAACTTTAATCCTAGATTACTTTGATCCACTTTTGTGGACTAAGGCAACGTCCACGCTACGTCGAAGAAATTTGAATACGTAGCTTTATTTCTACGGTTAGGCCTAACGTCCACACTAATCCGTCACGAAAACGCTCCTCAAACCGGAGGAATTTGAAAACGCCGGCTTTTCGTTTTCGCGTGGACGGAAACATTTTGAAAACGGAGTTTTTCGAAAACGATGACGTCACGATGATCATGTGATTCCCTGCCCGAGTTTTCCTCAAACAAATCCAAAATGACCGGTGATTGGTGCGTTTTTGAGTTCCTCCAGTGTAGTGTGGACGGAAAACACTCGATGCCTTTTCAGAGTGAAACCTCCGTTTTCAAATTCCTCCGGCGTGATGTGGACGGGGCCTAAGAAATGCATGCTTATTACATGTGGTCCTGTACTTTTATTTATCTTTAGTGCGGTGAAGCGTTACGATGCTCTGGCAGCTCTCGGGGCAGCAGGAATGGTGGACATACAAAATCTAGTAAAATGGATAGGTAAGTTGGACTTGATCAAGGAAAGCTGACTGTCCACGAGTGTGAAGTGAACATCAAAACTTATCTTCATGTTTGTGTGCATCTTAAAGAGCTCGGTACATTGATTCACTCCATTCTGACTGACTCAGTCAGAAGGAATGCATAAAGAAAGAAAAGACAACAGTGTTCTAGCCGAAATTTTTTATTTGAGTAGCATCCTGTTATCTAGTGAGATGTTTGTTGACATTTAAGTCAACACTTTTACGTGCTTGAAAGCACCTACGGACAAATATTGTTTCATTATCTCTCTTAATGTTTTCTTTAGATCAATCTCACCTGGATCCCAATGACCCTGCTAATGCTGACATCATGAACATCATCAAGGTATGTACTCTGTTGTTTGTTTACTTTTCCTTGTTTATATATCGCATCACTTTATGTCAAGCAGGCAGGTGGCATGAGTAAAGAAAATCATTAACCACTGCTTACTGTCTTAACTATGCCTAAAATTGTAAAAGATTTTTTTGTGGCAATCAGGAACAGAGTAGCTGTATTAATATTATTTTTATAATTTCTTCTCTACGTGTCCTCAGTTAATAGAAGGTCTTTTAAGAGTCTTGGCCCTCGGCTAGATGAGCTCAACATCTAGCTCTAATAAAGTTGTTGTTGTTGTTGTTGTTCATAGTTGGACCCTGGGCTTCTAAGACCGTTAATTTACCCAGATGGAAGAGACAATTACAATATAGTCGTCAGGTTCAGCCCACATTACGTTCTTTATTTTTTCTCTCCAGCTGAGTCACAGTATACAAGATGGACCAAACGCACCACAGTACTTTCGTCTAAATCAGCTGGAGGAAGAATGTGAATTTGTCAGTCAGAAGGAATTCGCAAAATCAAAGAGATTCAAGCTTATACAACTCAGAGACAAAGGGGTAAGAAGAAAGAGCGAGCCTGTAGAGAGAGTGATAGACGTGTCTTGGAAAGAAAAAAAAAATTGTTATTGTACGATGCATACAGTTTGCATGCAGATCAGAGCATGGTTGGATGGTTTTTGTGGACCCGTTCCTACAAACAAATGCTTGCTTTGTTTATACTTGTTTATGACCTCCGCATACGTTCATGATGTTGGACTCAGAAATTCTCAATTTTGACAGGTGCCCGAGTTCAAGAATTTTAAAATGATCCCTTCAAGAGACAGGGATATACCAGATAACATATTTGACGTAAGTTATTCACCTGGAAAACTTTGTTATCGTATAACTCATTTATTAATTTGGTATATAAAGAATAGAGCGCTGTAATGAAGTTTTGAAGTAATCGCGTGTAACTTTTATTTTGCTTATTCTTAGTGGATAGTGCTTTACTGATTTATTAATTTGCGCAATGCGTTGTAATCAGCCACATTATGAAGGTGTTGTCTTAACCAATGCGTCTCATGTTGGTTTTCTGATCGATTATGTTGTTCTTTGGGTGTCTGTAGTAACTATTTCTATGGTCCCAATTGGATTTACAGCAGTTTGCGACTGAAAGTGCTGTAAACGCGTTTCCTTAGATATTGTGGTTGTAAAGCTCTGTGATTAGATCAGAAGTACTCGTTTAAGTTGGGTTGACCTGTGACCAACGAGATCAGCGAGATCTCGCCCAGTCAGACGCCGAACCAGTCAATAGCAAGGGTAACTTGGGTTACTCGACTTTCTCGGGAAATGTCACCAGTTGTAACGTTGTAGTTTGAATTTTGATTGGTTCATTGGGTTTCTTTAGCGTGCTGGGATTGGATGGGTGCTTTTGCTTTAGTTTTGGCTTTTCAATTTACTACGATTATCAGTTGAGTAAGGCACGAGGGAAGTTTGGTTACGAAGTTTTGGCCTTAAAATTATTGTGTTGTCACGGGCCACTTACCTCGTTTCCGTTGGTAACAATATTAACAGCTGTTGGTCGCCTGTCGCGTCGCCTACAATTTCGCACGCTTTGCTGCCAATGACGTCAAAGGCCGACAAGTTGTCAATGGATACGGAGCCAGTTGCTCATGACAACAACACAATTTTTACGTTAAAACTTGGTGACCAAACTCTCGTCCCGCCTCACTCAACTGATATTCGATGTGACATTGTTTCACACTATCCATGGCATGGCATGTTTTAAATCCCTAATATGGTGTCACGTTACAGGCCTACGAGAAAAGACAGCGTGGGGAACAAGAGGAAGAAGAAGCGGAGGACGAAATATTCTCTCACAAGGCAGTTGTAACGAAGTTTTTGAACAAGGTATGTTTGTGTCCTTTTTGGTATTTTAGAAGGTTTTTCTTTAGTTCACACTTGAAGTGATACTTAGGGTGTTCATTCAAAATAACATAGTGATTAAAACAAGGCAAAAGGCTTTCTGTTGTTCTTGTTTCTTTTTGTAGTGCTTTATCGTATACCGCCCTCAGATAGTCTCAATGTCTAAACTGCCTGCAAGAGACTCCCTTCCTCATGAATTTGCCTCACGAATTTCGCGAAAATGTAAAAAAAGCCAGACATACCAAGAGACCGTATTCACGGCTATTTGATATGCTTTTCTTAGCCTGACGTCTAGTTCTCGATACTCTGTCGCTATCCCCCCCCCCCCCCCCCCCCCCCCCCCCCCCCCNGTTGAAAGGAAAAACCATAGGCAAGTGTGCCGCCATCCCTGCATTTCACCATTGTTTCCCTTTCTTTTCTTTCTCTTCCTCTTTCTCCGTTGAAAGAAGTTAAGGAACGAAAACTTTCCTTGTGTTTGTGAAATAAGTCCGTGGAAGAAATTTTTACCACAGAGCAATGATGAATGTCTGTTCGCCGTTCACAACGTTCATTATCTTGTTTATTTCATGATAAATCTAAACTTAATACAGGACACGTTGTGTTTCAAAATAACCCTCATTGACATGAGATGATGATGTGATGTTTTGATTCGTCACAGCCGCAAGTACGTCCGTTCGTAGAGGCAGTTTTCCAGGGACAATTTGCCAGTACCACAGTGGCGGACGGTCCTAATCCGAGCTGGAATGAAGAGCTTATAATACCCTTTAGGTACGATATGCCACTTATTTTATTATATATCTAGCTTTGTGATGTTATCTTACACGGACAACCAAATTAAAGTCGTTACAATGAGGTTTGAAGCAATACTCTGGTTAGCTTTCGTTACTTTCGTATTTCTTTATTTAATTACCTAAGATTCTGAATTAATTCTGAGAGAGATATGGGTTTAGTTTTGGTTCTTGTGTGACGCGTCAAAATGGTTAAGAATTCAAACTCTTCTCTGCTTCTTTAAGATTTGCCAAAGTCATCTCTTGCTTCCCGGCAAAGTGAAGTCCAAGTCATAATAGCCCTAAGAAATATCCTTTAGTTTGTACGTTTGCGCGTCACGTTTTGCACGTTTAAGTTAGAATACCTCCCATAATTTATTTCATTTGTTCTTGTTTTGCAGAGCGCCTAATAATGACTACTCTCCTGAAACTCTGCAAACCGTTAATGATGTGGTGTATCTAAATCTGTTTGATGAAGTTGTATTTAACATTTTACAAGTAAGATACTGCTTTTATATTACTTTTTGTAATTACAATATCTTGNGTTGAAAGGAAAAACCATAGGCAAGTGTGCCGCCATCCCTGCATTTCACCATTGTTTCCCTTTCTTTTCTTTCTCTTCCTCTTTCTCCGTTGAAAGAAGTTAAGGAACGAAAACTTTCCTTGTGTTTGTGAAATAAGTCCGTGGAAGAAATTTTTACCACAGAGCAATGATGAATGTCTGTTCGCCGTTCACAACGTTCATTATCTTGTTTATTTCATGATAAATCTAAACTTAATACAGGACACGTTGTGTTTCAAAATAACCCTCATTGACATGAGATGATGATGTGATGTTTTGATTCGTCACAGCCGCAAGTACGTCCGTTCGTAGAGGCAGTTTTCCAGGGACAATTTGCCAGTACCACAGTGGCGGACGGTCCTAATCCGAGCTGGAATGAAGAGCTTATAATACCCTTTAGGTACGATATGCCACTTATTTTATTATATATCTAGCTTTGTGATGTTATCTTACACGGACAACCAAATTAAAGTCGTTACAGTGAGGTTTGAAGCAATACTCTGGTTAGCTTTCGTTACTTGCGTATTTGTTTATTTAATAACCTAAGATTCTGATTTACTTCCAAGAGAGATATGGGTTTAGTTTTGGTTCCTGTGGTACGCGTCGAAATGGTTAAGAATTCAAACTCTTCTCTGCTTCTTGAAGATTTGCGAAAGTCATCTGTTGATTCCTTGCCAAGTAAGGTCCAAGTCATAACAGCCCTAAGAAATACACTTTAGTTTGTACGTTTTCGCGTCAAGTTTAGCACGTTTAAGTTAGTATTCCTCCTATAATTTGTTTCATTTGTTCTTGTTTTGCAGAGCCCCTAATAATGACTACTCCCCTGAAACTCTGCAAACCGTTAATGATGTGGTGTATCTAAATCTGTTTGATGAAGTTGTATTTAACATTTTACAAGTAAGCTACCACTTTTATATTACTTTTTGCAATTACAATATCTTGAATTGTGAATATTTTCCTATTTTGCTTTTGAAAATATTATCTTTCTCAGGCTGACTCGACTAGTTTAATATTGTTGTTTTAGGATGATCGCCAACAGTCCACGAATATTCATCAGCGTCTTGAGCGACACTGGTTAGGCGGTATCGAGATTCCTTTTTCAACAATTTACTTCAATAATAAGGTAATCATTGCAGTCTCTACAGATTACATTTCAAACTTTTTTCGCTCGACGTACAGAAGTAAGGTAAATTCTGCGTCTGACCAAGTGGTCCGCACAGTCGGAGTTTATCCTGGTTTCCGTAGCATGAAGCCACTAGGTGTGTTTCTACTCCCCTCTGGATGGGATGCTAATCCATCACAAGGTTACCCCCAGCAGAAAATTCGCTGGTACCTACCTACCTCTCCTGGTTGGAGAGAGGCACTGTGAGATTAAAGTGTCTTGCCCAAGAACAAAACACAGTGACCCGACCAGTACCACTTGACAAAAGAATTAAAGTTCGTAATTCACTCACTTACATCGCTTCCCCACAGACAGGAAAGGAAATTCATCTACGAACGGTGATCTGTAATAATGTCTTTGTTTGTCTTTCCAGGTGGAAGGAACATTTCGAGTAAATACGCCACCAGTCCTCCTCGGTTATCACAAACGGGGACGCCATTCTGGAGCACCAAGTGACCTGGGAATTATATCCAGAAATGACACTCTCCTGACACTGTTTGTCACTATCGAGCCACCACTACAACCCTCACAGCCCATGGCGGAAAGGGTAACAGCCTTTCTTTTCTTTTTTTTCGTCTGCTTTTTTCTAAAACGCTTAAACTGTCATGTCATGGTTGCCACAGGTCAGGAAATGGTCAGGGAAAAAATAATTCTCCAAGGTCAGGGAAAAGTCAAGGAATTTTATCTGGAGTCAGGGAAAATTGAAATAATTTAACACGGCTGATTTAATACTGTTGAGGGCTGGACGAAACATTTGCGGTCACTGTGATCTCAATGATATTTTTCCTTACTGAAAAAGGAAAATTTGTTGAGAACTTACGAGTCTTCATGAATGGAAAGGACGGCTATAAGCTGACGCTGGAGGCCGCTACTAGATCTGACATTTTGTATTTATTTGGTCAGGGAAATTTGATTTTTATCAGGAAAAAGTCAGCAAAAAGTCAGGGAATTTTGAAAAGTGAAGTCTGTGAAACCATGATGTTTGTTAGTTTTAGTTTTTCCCTTGCTACGGCGTTTAATTTGCTGAAAATACCCAGCAATCGAGCTTGTAGTCTAATTGTTAATGACAGTACCCCTAGTCTCGTTTCATTTTCCAGTGGTTTGCCAATAGTTAACATTGTTGATTTTTTTTAGTTTGAAAGCAACGAGGATGATAAGCTTTTGCACAACGCTCAGTTGTGGCTAGCGGGACTGAGAAAGAAGTATCCAAAAAGAGAATACAAGGTTTG